CGTTCCGGGCTCTCCATAGATAGTATAGTATTGTAGCTGCGTAGAGAATTCCATCAGAGTCTAGAATATTCAACAATTCACCAAACCATTCATAAAAAATATCTGTCATAATGCTCGGTAATGGTAGGTTAGATTGTGCCCAAATGGTTTTTGCATAATCACACAAAACCAATGCATGCATAACATCCTCATTTTCCACACCACACACTGGACTAACATCCACCCTTTTAATACGCAAGTTGGTGGTAGTGGGGAGGATATCACTTATGGCCTTCCATAAAAAAGTTCTCCATTTGGGTGGTATTTTTTGTTTCCACAAAGTGAGCCATTTATTAAACCCCGTATTCATATTATTCTCATGATTTCCAACGATATGCCTGTACCCATTCTTAACTGAATAGCAACCATTGGGGTCCCCATGCCAATACCATAGGTCCTCGTACTCCTGGGAGACTGGTATCTTTACAATTCTTGCCACATCATTAGGCTCAAAACTATCAGTAAGCAAATGATAGTCCCATGTTCCTGTTCCCTGATCAATCAAGTTGACTACTTTAGCATCAGCCAGTTGGGGTGACATTTCTGTTTGGATCATGAGATCCTCGCCATCTTGTAACCAAGGGTGCTTCCACACAGAGGTAGAATTTCCATTCCCAATCCGCCTTCTCACACCACTACAGATTAGGCTCTTTGCAGCCATAATACTCCGCCAACAATGACTGGGATTATTTCCCAGGTCCGCTTCCATAAATGAATATCTAGGGTAGTATCTGGCTTTATAAAATTTTGAGACCAACGATTCTGTATTGGTAAGCAATCTCCATGCATGTTTACCCAATAGTGCCACATTAAAAGCTCTAAGATCTTTAAACCCCAGTCCACCATATTTCTTAGGGAGACATAACTTATCCCAAGCTTTCCAATGTATCTTCTGATCAGTCCCAGATCCCCACCAATACCGATTCATAAGTCGCTCAATGGCAGCACAGACAGATACTGGTAACAAAAATACACTCATTGAAAAAGTAGGCATAGCCTGGGCCACACTTTTCAATAAGATCTCTTTACCTGCTTGTGATAACAATTTCTTACTCCAAGATCCTATTCTCTGCCGGATCTTATCTTCAATGTAAGCAAAGGCTGCTTTCTTATTTCTCCCAATAAATGATGGCAAGCCAAGATACTTCCCAAAGTTAGGAGCCTGCGTTACTTCTAACACCTGCGCCACACTATCCCTTTCTTCATCAGCTGTATTCCTGCTAAAACAAATGCTAGACTTCTGAAAATTGACAACTTGCCCAGACAATTTCTCATATAGTGATAGACAATTCTTTATCTCAATAGCCTCCTGAACAGTCGCTTTAAAAAATAATAAACTATCATCCGCAAAGAAAAGATGTGAAACAGGGGGGCACCACGCGCTACCCTGCATCCATGTATAAGGCCCCTATCTTGTGCTTTCTGTAGTAATAATGAAAGGCCTTCTGCACAAATAATAAACAGAAAGGGAGACAGCGGATCACCTTGCCGTAATCCTCTGGTTGGCATAATTGCATCACTACGTGTTCCATTCACCAAAAAGCTATATGAAACTGTAGAGACACACATCATAATAAGATCAATCCACTTCACATGGAATCCCAGCGCCACAAGCATACCTCTCAGAAAAGGCCATTCCATACGATCATAGGCTTTGGTCATATCCAATTTTAGAGCACTCCAACCTACCACTCCACACTGTTTCCTGTTCAAATAATGTCCTATCTCAGAGGCCACCAAGATATTATCCGTAATTAATCTACCGGATATGAAGGCACTTTGTGACTCGGATATAATACCATTCATCAGGGGCTTCATTCTCTGTGTCATCATTTTAGCCATAACTCTATAAATTACATTACTGAGCGCAATCGGTCTAAGATCAGAAACCAATTCAGGGGCATCTTTTTTTGGGATTAACACCACATCAGTGTCATTGAGTCCCGGGGGGAATGAGCACATATTCAAACAATTGACAATAAAGTTCGAGACATCCCTACCTACAATATCCAAAAAATTCTGATAAAACCCCGGATTCATTCCATCCGGGTCCGGTGCCTTATCAGGAAACATTGAAAAAAGAGCAGACTTAACTTCATCCATCTTAAATGGCCGAATTAGCCACTTGTTTTGTGTCTGAGTGATTCGTGGTGCTACATTATCAAATATAAGATCACCATTCATAGGATTATTTGTCGCAAAGATTTTCTTGAAATAATCCAACACCACACCTGTCATACCATCTCCCTCCACCCACTCCCCACTATCATTCATAAGTCTATGCAAAATATTCTTTCTTTTTCGATGAGAGGCATACCTGTGATAAAATTTGGTGTTCGCATCAGCATCCTTGAGCCAGTGTTGCTTGGCCCTCTGCCTCCAGTATACGTCCTCCTGGATCTCCAATCGAGACAAGGAAACCTCAAGTCGATTATATTCAGCTAGGGAAGTTGGATCAGTACATCCCCATAATCGCTCCTGCCCTTTACGAAGTAGCTGTATTTTTTCCCCAAATTTATGATATCGGTCTCCACCCCATCGGGACAGGCGATTCCCACAATGTTTAATGCAGTTTTGTGTGCCACCACCCTTTCCTTCCTCACATGATTCTGCCACTACTGCCCTGCACCCCTCATCATAAAGCCATGCTATTTCAAAACGAAACCTCCTCCCTCCTCCTTTCCTGGCCCCGTAATGTCGGATAGCCATAAAGATTGCTGAGTGATCCAATTTTCTTGTTAACAAATTGGTCACTGAGGCTCCATTAACAATATCCCGCCATCGATCCGTAGCCAATACTTTATCCAGTTTTTCCTCAATCCAGTCCGGGGTGCCCTTACCAGTTTCCCACGTAAACTGGTAGCCATTCATCGATAATTGAGACAACCCACAATGCTCAATAGTCTCCCCAAATCAGCGTAGGAGGCTATTTGGATGCGGATTTCCCCCCTTATTCTCATACTGATATAAAAGATCATTAAAGTTGCCAATCACAATCCATGGTAACTCAGATTGCGTTGCCAACCATTTAAGCAGATCCCACGATTCTGTCCGGCTTGATCGCTGTGGATAGCCATAATAACAAGTCATTCTCCAATTTGGAAAGCCACTAATACTCACCTCCACATCAATATGGGTCCTTGAATAACCCAAAAGTCTCGCCGTATTATTCTTCTTCCATAACAATGCTAGACCACCACTCAACCGCACATTATCAACATAAAACAGACCTTCATAACCAAACTTGACACGAAGACGCTCAGCATGTATTCGCGCCACCTTAGTCTCCATAAAAAAAATAAAATCTGGCTTCTTTCGGGACACCATGTCCTCAATCTCGCGAACTGTCCGTGGATTGCCCAAGCCACGGCAGTTCCAACTTAAGGTACTCATTGTTGTGGGCGGGTCTGGGAACCAGAACCCGCCATTTGCAAGTTTTTTGACCTGTCAATCATGTTAACATCCATACCGGAGGCTAGTTCCCCCGTCTCACCACTCCGCTCATCCTGGCGCCGGCGCTTAGCTAAAGCCGTGACCTCCCCCTCCTCATCGGCATCTTGCCGGTCCACGGCTTCACCCATGCATGCAGGTTCCGCCGCTTTCCTCATGCCCTCATCCTTCCGTACCGGTTCATCAGACGTAAGCAACCAAGGTTCCCCAATTGGTCGAGGGCCCCTCGGCTGACCAGCACGCAGCCATACACCATACAGGTACTGCTCGGTGTCAACACCGAATCCCTTGCTTTCAAACAGAACTTGTTCGAATGCCCTAACAGACCACAGAAAAAACAGAAGGTATGCAGTCTTTCATATTTGAAATTCACCCATCCCCATGTTTTGTCCCGGCGAATAAGCTTCATCCTTCTTTTGAGGGGCTTATCTACCGGTATAGAAACCCTAACGCGGTAGAAGCTTTTGAGTGGTCCCTTCAACTGCCTTTCATCATACTTGAGGAACTTGCCCAAGAAATTCCCCGTTTGTTCAAGCACCAGAATCGTATTATATCCAATCGGCAGATCATAAACCTGGACCCATATATCAACCGAGTCAAGAACCACGTCCCCCGGTAACTGGCCGTCAACCAACTCCTTGCAGATCAACGTACAATTTTCAAACGACCATGGCCCCTCTTCCAATACTCTCCGAATATCCGACTTGTGGTGAAACATAAACTGGAAGAGATTAGGTTGGAGTTCCGTGATGTGTACACCTTTAACCGGCTTCCAGGCCGAAGCCATAACCTGCCGCATGTAATCAAATTTAATGAATCGCTGCGTCAAGAACCGGCCTACTAGAGTCCACGACTCCGCCACCGTTGCTGCCGCATTGTCGTCCATCGGCGCCATAACGCCGACGTCCTCTTCTTCTAAAACCATGTCCGCCCACCTATCGGACAGACCTGCCATGGCTGCTGTATTGGCAGACGTCATCGCCCCCTGCTTCTCGTCGTCTCCGGTTGTTTAGCGTCGCTGGTCGAAAACCCTAGGCGGGTTGTTTAGGCAGAAAGATGTTCGGAAAAAACCCTAGGTGATTAGGGAAGGAAATAGAGAGAACCCTAGGCGATCAGGGAGAGAAAACTTATTCTGTTTATTTAAAGAAAAAGTTAACGGACAATCATATTTATTAAGGATAAATTAGGAAATCTAACAATGTAGTACCAATAATGCCTCCACTGAGGCTTGAACTCACAACCTTTCAAATGAAAGTCTAACCCAAGTACCATTAGACCACATAGTCCTGGTGGGCTTTTATTAGTATAGTATATATATATATATAGTAGATATCATATAAGAGTACTTTTCTTTGAGACTGTATCATAAAGCTTTATCCATAAGACGAATCGAGTCAGTATGAAAATGTAATATTTATACTTAAAAATATATGTAATACTAATCAGGAATAATACTACTTTATTTCCGAATAATATTACAATTTATAGTATAAATAATATTACATTATATCTAACCCGTTTAAAAGGTATGGATCCGTGCACAAGTTTTTGTGATCATATATATAATATTATATTCTTCAAAGTCTGATAAAAGAAAGCGCCTTGTCGAGGTGCATGGCCTTCATGCTCAGGTAATCTTTCACTCTCACCGTCCGATACGCCGGAGCTCCGTCGCCATCACGCCGCACCACCGGAGCCACCACGGAATCAACCGGCGGTCCATAGAAATACGCCACGGAGACCCTATGCACCGACTCGTTCACGACGGCGCGATGGTAGACCGTTGGGAACCTGGCGTTGGAGAGGACGTGGAGGAGGTCGCCGACGTTGACGACCAGGCCGCCGGCGACGGGGACGACCGGCGCCCAGCCGAGACCTTGCTTGAAGACTTGGAGGCCGTCGGTGGCGGCGCTCTGGTGGAGGATTGTTAGGAAGAGGGAGTCGGTGTGGGGAACTAAGCCGATTGCATGGGTAGGGTTTGGGCAGCGTGGGTAAGAGTTGAGCTGTAAAGCGCCTTCGGATTGGGTGGCCGCCGGAGAAGACGAAGAAGGGTTGATCCATTTCAGGTGTTGCTCTGAAGCTCCGATGGAGTTTAGGGTTAGCAGGAAGAGTTTGAAAGCTAGGGCTTTCATCTTCTTTTGATAATTCTCCATTGTGTCACTGCAAAACAATAATAAACAAAATTAACTATGGAAGTAACAATATAAGAGAAAGTCTTAAGTAAATTAATTTATTATCATCCAGTACACCAATACCTTGGGGATAGTTTTCCCTTTTATCTTTTCTTTTTAACCAATTAATATATATTGTCTTAATTAGTACATAAATTTTCAATCTTATCATATTAGTCCGTCAATATCATGTTACAATTCACATGCCTAATAAGTGTAACAAAAATATATACTCTTATTGAATAGAATATTTGTGTGCATAAGTGCATGTTGGTACTTACAATCACTTGATTTTGTGATTAACTCAAGCTCAATAATTAGACAATAATTATTGCCAATCTCTCCTAATTAATTGTATGTTGAGGAAATGGTGATTATTGAGCCCGCACGGGTTTAGCTTACTGGTTCAATAGATAGTATTTGAGAAAAGAGATCAAGGTTCGAACATCAGCAACAGTAAGGTGGGGATTATGCCCTAAGTGGATAGATGATAGATCTCTTGTGCGCACTGAAACTTAGTCCTGCTTGCAAAGCCATTGAGTCACCATGATTTACATCATCTCAAATACTCTGTCGGGTCAGGGTGTAGGGGGCCCTTAAGGTTGAGTCATTGAGTTACCGTGATTTACATTATTTCAAATATTCTGTCGGGTCAGGTGTGGGGGGCCCTTAGGGTTGGGATTCAACCTTTTGAGAGAAGGAAATGGTGATTGATTTGGTAACTATTTATGCAGTTGTGCACCTTGAATTGGTGGACCTCACATATTTTGCTTTCATCGTCGTAATCCAAAACTCTCTCTATGTATTTGAAACTAAAGTCCAAGCCTTTTATCCACCTAGCTAACTTCTTCCAAAAGGTGGCTAACCAATAAGTTCCCACATTAATTATATCTCACCAAAAACACAACACTCAACTATAAGATTCCAACGTCAAAAGAAAAGACAAAATAAGGAAATTATTGAACCAAATCAATATCTAACCGATATTTTTATTTATTTATTTATGAAAAAGTTTACAGTTATTATTCAAATGTACGTTTTGGATGAAACCTAATTTAACTTGTTTATAGCGGACTAATTTAAATAAAAAAGACTAATAAAAAGTTATCACATGGAGTCGAACTTGAAATCTATCTTAGGTTATCAAACAAATTGTTTGCCCAACTTAATTGTAGTGACGGCCATATCTAACCATCTTTGTCCCATATTTTAATTAATTACTTTATTTTTTCTGTATTCACAAAATCGACTTTAAAACCTTTTCTGATTCATGGAGTTAAACAAATAATTTATATTTGTTTAGATATTAGTGGGGTAAGATCAAAAGTTAATTAGGTAAAAGATTATTACTTTATTTGAAGATTTGAAATGTCATACGTATAGTATACAAGGGAATTCCATTGTCCTCTCATAAAAAAAGATAAGAAAAGTCCTATGTTGAGAGGATAGACACCACCTTAGCTTCCGACAAAATTTATTAAAAATAGTTCAACAGGTAATTAAATGAGACAAAAATAGTATATTACAAAAACTTTTTATGATGATTGATTGATGCGTGATATATATCATACTATTCTCAAAATTTTTTTAAAAAATGTAGGGAAAAGATCAATACTAAATCATATTATTGCATGTTTTGTCTTATTCCTTTTTTAGATATACATACACCTTGATAAAGCTAAGTTGTATCGTATTGTAATTTTTTTTTTTAATAGGTATACCTATATGTGTATGACAGAGATGCAAAACCAGCTACCAATATTTTTTTGATCAACAAGAAAAATCCATAACTACTACTTGAAACGTATACTTAATAAACATCTTCTTGTGAACCTAACTGACAAAGGGTTAGATGTTAACAATAGCCCTGTTTGGTAACATTTTTTTTGAAAGCTACTGGTTCTATTACATTGTAGTATCTGTTCATATACTTTTTCAACCTACTGAAACACAAAGAACCAATAACGCCTCCACTGAGGTTCGAACTCATAATCTTCCAAATGGAAGTCCAACCCGAATACCATTAGACCACATAGTCCTAGTCCCTGTTTGGTAACATAGTTAGCTTATCAGTCAATTTTTAACTTTTTTGACCATTATTAGATGTTTGACTTGGTTAAACAATAAATATGAGTGTTTAATTAATTAGCTTTTTGTAACGATTTATTACTTCAAAATGCTAAAATTAACCAAGGTGCTCAAAGTAGCTTTTTGATCAGCATTTTAATTAAGAAAGTCATTTTGCATGTAATTAATTAATTTAACAAACACTTTTCAATAATTACTTAATGCTATCAACTAGTCAAACCCACTAATCTAATCACTTTGCCAAACACCCCCAATATTTGTCTGTTTGTGAACGTGCATGAAAATGCATGGAACATACCAGAAATGTTGATGGTCATGGGGCCAAAGTTGTCTGGCATGATCAGCTGGGGAGCCCATGATGGTAAACCCTTCATGCCACATCAACTTAGGGAAAAAAGGTGAAATCCTTGCGGCGCCGTAGCCGGTGGCGCCGCCGGGCGACCTCAAGGCCTTCATCTTGCGACTCGCCGGGAGGGAGAAAAGCCGGTAAGCTTGAGACTCAACCTCATCAACAAGGGCGGAGGAAACTCCATGGTTAACAACATGAAACATCCCCCATGTCTCACAAGCATGGCCTATAAGCTCCACAACATTTGGAGCCAAGAGATCAACGGTTGGTATTGATGCATATTGTTTGGGGTCAGTGATTTTAGGCCAGAGATGAGAATCAGGGACTTTATGGAGTGATTGAAAGTCTAAAGGGATAATGTGTTGAAGGCTTAGAGGGTGTTCCTTGTAGGCTTCAGAAAGCGTAGTCATCTTTGCCACTCCTTTTTAGGTTGGAGGATTCAAGAGGATGATGGAGAAAGTTACATTATATTCCATTTTGGAGTTTGGGTAGCACCTTTATGTATTTAAGTTGTTTCATGATAATCCCCAATGTTGACTTTCTTGTCTCATTTGGTAAGCTGTTTGGCCAAGCAAGGCAAATGGTGGAAAAAAAACAAATTACAAAAATTTTGGATAAAACAAGGACCACAATAGGAAAATCCTATATATGCTCCTATTTTATACTTCCAACTTTTATTTTCACACTTAAAATTTTGATGTAGACATATTTACAGGGACCCACATGAAAAAAATAGTCTATCAATGTCTGCACATTAGAGAATAAAATTGAGAGAGTAAGATTTGAGAGTACATGTAGTAGAACTCTTCACAATATTAGTAAAGAGAAGCAAGTTTAGACCCTCTGGTGGGCCCTTAAAAATATGCAAGCCAGTCATGAGAGCAATCATTATTATGTGGACAAATAATGTATATCCAGTATACTGTATACAAATAATGTATTTTTAGTATATTAAAAATGCACATTATATTTAAGGAAAGTACATTATTTGAGAATTAAAAATATATTATCTTGTATAATGTATATTCAGTACGCGAATAATGTACTTTTAGTATATTAGAAATGTACTTTTTATTATAGTCCAAACAATAATTTTCCTTCATGAGTGTGAGTTATCTTGAAGTATCACCATATAATCTATACAAGTATTTTGATTTTGATTGTTGTGTATATGTGTTTATAAGTAATTTCAATTTCGTCACTTAAGATCTCTTATAACTTTAGGCAAGTGGTATGAATATAAAACTTTAATTTGATTGTATCTACCATTGTTTCTCATAAAAGTGTGATTTTTATAAAATAAACAAGTCAACTAAATCATGATTTCATGTAGATATTTTAGTTTTTTATTTTTACTTTTAAATTTTCTTTTGGTGGTGCTTGAAATTATAATTACAAGCCATTAATTACAACTCAACTTGACTAATAAATTAAACCAATAATGAAATTGTGAACTTCAAATGATCAAATTAAATATGCTTAGCTACAATATACAGACGCCCATATCTACTATCTACTATCTATCTACTATACTAATAAGAGCCCAAGAGAGTTAGGTCTATAATGGGTAGAAAAAATGGCGGTCACAGATTTTAATCAAATGAATGGCTCAGATTGATTAAAAGATTGATCAGATTTAAATTTTACACTAAAATTTCCTAAAATACCCACACACCGTTACTAATTCCGTTAAAATTTTAAGAATTGTCGTTAGTTCACCGTTAACTTACTCATTACAAAAAAAGGTCAGGTTCGAACCTCATCCCAATCAAAGTTGGCATAATTAGTACTCTATTTTACTCTTATTAAATTAGTATAGTAGATATAAATAATAATTTAGTAGTTACAACAAAAAATAATACATATGCATTTATTTAATTTAGAATTATGTGTTCACAATGTCTTTATTCAAAAAAAAATTATTCATTATCAATAAATTAAATAAGATAAATAATTTTATTAGTTATATTGTCTTTATTTTTCTTCAATATAAAAATTCTTTATATTCAAATTTATTAATTGATTATATTCGCTACATTGTCCTTACAATGTCTTTATTCAGTGAAAAACAAATTATTAATTATCAATAAATTAATTAAAAGAAATATTTTCATTAGTTATATTGTCTTTATTTTTCTCAAATGTAAAAATTTTTACATTCAAATTCATCAATTGATTATATTCACTACATTATCTATTATCTTTTTTGTGCACTATTTTTCTAATTAAATATCAAAGTTATAACATAAAATAATGTTATATATATATATATTTATTTACCAAGTATTTTATTAATACCATGAAAAAATTTAAAAAATATAATTTATAAAGCCAACCATATTAACTACTTGAGAGATTTTGTGACAAAGAGAGTATTTAAATCACACAACAAATTGAAGTGAGAACTACCTCGCAATGTCCTTGTTTGACAATCAGCAGTTAGTGGTTAACGTTAGCGGATTATACAAGCGGATTTGACCAGCGAATTTATTTAATTATTAACATTGGGTAGAAAAAATGACCGCCAAATTATTAAATCAAATGAATGTTTCATATTGTTCAGGTTTTAATTTTTTTCTTTTAAGATTTTCTAATTTATCCTTAATTATATGATTATCCATTTAACTTTTCCGTTAATTCACCGTTAGTCTAATTCTTATATTAAAGTCTAATATAGAATTATAACTACACCATTAATCTAATTCTAATATTAAAGTCTTAATAGAACTTAACCACAAATCCTAATGTCGGAATCTCCTCAAACAATATTAGTATATATTTCATATTTTATGCCCTAATTTTTTGTTCTCCCTTATGTCCCGTATTTGGTTTCAACCATACCTATACAATTATTTTATTGACAATTATAATCAATATTGACTATATTATCTTGCATTTGTAAACTTAGAATTACCTATTTAACCCGCACGGGCTTAGCTCAATGGTTTAGTGGGTAGTATTTGGGAGAAGAGACCAAGGTTTGAACCTCGGCGGCGGCAATGCGGGAATTATGTCCAAAGTGGGCAGATTCCTTGTGCGTATCAGCATTTGGCCCTGTCTACTGAACCATTGAGTCACCGTGATTTACAACTTCCCACAATGCTCTGTCAGGTCGGAGTGTGGGGGGGCCCTTGGGGTTGGGGACTCAACCTTTGGAAGAAGAACTACATATTTAAATACGCAAATTCAACCTCCAATTATCTATGCATGAACAATTTCAATATAATCTTGCCTTAATATACTTTAAAGTACTTATTTAAAAAAAAAAAAAAAAAAAAAGCATTGGGCATTATCCCAATCGCGCAATGCGCGTAAAAAACTAGTATATAAATATAAACCTCTAAACGCTAAATTCTTAAATAATGAGACCGACACTTACATGAAATAATTATAAGATGATTAAAGGGGATTTCTCAAATTAAAATTGAAACCTTAACTTTAAATTAATGAATAACAAATTTTATGATCTGATCATGTCAGATCACCATTAACACATAAATTTTTTAAAAGATATAATTTACAAAGAATGATGTTTAGGTGGTTAGATGTGATGATGAGTGCACCAACGAAACCTATAAACACCACTTGTACTATACGCATACGACAAACCGACGTTTGATTTGTCTTATGTTCATCTGGCATATGCAAGTTGTCCACTTGTACAAAGGGTTTTGTCTCCAACTGGTTTTGGACTTTTCCTCTTCTAAACATGGCTTGCTCGAAGGTGACAAGCATGTATGATGTATCATCACAACACAACACAATATATAGCTTTTCCGGTTTGCTTCTGGATTTTAATTTTGAAGTATCTTTGGGGATTCTTGATTGGTTTTTAGTGACATAAAAGGACAATTTATTACTTGCTTTGTAATTGCCCAACTGATGCCAATGGTCTTGCTGGCCATATGGTGACTAAATTATATCCGGCCACAAGCATTTGCTCATTTTATTGTACGTCTTTCCTATTGGAGATTAGTGAATTGAAGTGGTCATATGTAGGTAGGGACATTGTGTTTTGGAGATAGAATCAAATTAAAATGGATAATTGTTGTAGTCCAAACTTGTATAGTAGGAACTAGGGGTAGGACTTTAAAAAGTGTTTTTATCAAAAAATTAAATGTCCTGGGGTCAAGGGGATCGATGCGAGCGCTAGAATAAAAAAGTTGGACGCTATTTTTGCTAATCGAGGAGAGCATCGGAGCTTCTGCCGTCATTGGGGTTAGTTGTTGCCTCTGTCGCTCAAGTGTTGTTTTCGATAAGAGAGGAGAGGAGAGGACTAGAGGAGCTTGGTCAAGTTGTCGTTGTTGGTCATAGATGGGGATCGAAGGTCGATGTTTCGGAGATTGGAAGGCTAGGGTTTTTTCTTTCATTTAATAAGACAATAGGCGCCTATTGTAGCAAAAAGAAAAAATCAAAAGAAATTGCGGGCCACTTCCACACCTGTTTTGCGTACAACAGACGCGAAAAACGTCCATACATTTTAATTTTAACAATGTTGTGTTCATATACAACATATGCTAATTGTTATTTTAAGATTTACAAAAATATTACCGTAAATGTTGTAGCATCTCTTTTTTCAAACGACAAATGTCAATAGTCTAAATTGTACCACAATGAGTACTATATTATTACAACAAAAGAAGTTACAATAATAGCGGCCCACAAGACCCCGCCCCTAGATCCACTATGAAGGAATCAGCCCACTGATTAGATCTTAGTCTTCATGTGATTCGAACCCCATACTGCTGCCTCCAATTATATCACTGGTTAGATCCTAGTCTTCATGTGATTTGAACCCCTACACTGCTGCCTCCAATCATATTTTTTAAGTGATGCGATGAACCAACTACGCTAAGTCCTAGAGACTTCTAAAACATATTCTTGATGTTTTGTTGGGTAGCTGAATAGATCCAATGACCAATACACAATAACCTCATTGGGACCTTAGGTCCGAGTAATCTTTCAAATTAAAAGACTTTACCCTAAGCCCACTTGAGTCGGGAGATTATGTTCAGTAAATACATTATTTTAACTCACAAAATATATTATTTTATTTCAGATATTTTTATTATTTTAACACATAAAGTACATTATATATTATTCTAATTCATAAATACATTATTCTAACACATAGTACATTCTTCTAAGTCATAAAATATATTATATTACCTCAAAATTTTCATTATTCTAACACATAAAATACATTATGTTATCCCAAAATGTTCATTATTCTAACAAGCGTGCAGAGCAAGAATTTTATTTTTTTTTTAAACATCAAAAGGACGACATTTTGAACCGTGATCCATACAATAATTTGCCCTCATTAGATTAGTTAGCTCCGGTGACCGATATGTTGATCAAAGATGACCCTGAAAGACTAATTAGAATAATGTACTTTATGTGTTACGTTTTTGTTGGATCGTGGTCTACACAGCTGTGTGGACCACGGTCCTCGCAATAATGATTGCCTGATGAGCTTAGCTTCTGGATCTCCTTATCTATATTTAGATACTCAAAATCTAAATTGTATTACTCATTAATTCCAATTTATATACTCAATAATAATACACTGTTATAAGTGCATTTATGTGTACATTTTACCTCATATTTAGACCCATTTTTGTATAGCATTTTTGTGAATTTAGTGAGAAATATGTCTTAGCTTATTTGCTTTTGATTTTATCTTTAGGTACACCATTTGATGATTTGAAGATAAATCAACAACTTTGGATCAATTTTGGATAATTTCTTAGTTATAGGATCAGAAGCATTGAACAGTGCATATATAGGACAGTCCAAAGCCAATCCTGAGGGGATAACATCTATTTTAGCTATTATTACAAACAAATTAACAATAGAGTGACAGACTCTATGCGGTGGGTTTAACCAATAGGATATTAATAAGAATTGAATTCAAGATCTTTAGGTACAAGAATTATACTTCACTCACTTGGTCATCCTTTTACGGGCTATTAAGGTAACTTTTTGTATTTATATGTTGATGAATTTTTGCCAAAGTAATGTAGATTAGGAAAATCATATTTTCGGTAATGAATTTTTAAAACTTTAAAATATATGGGGTAATTTAGTAATGAATTTTTATTATATGTCCTGGTGTGAACGGTTCTTGAAGATTGGAAACGATTCTTGAAGATTACATGTGGATTTCGTGTTCTCTAATATACATGAAATGAAGAAGGAATCTTCTTCAACAAAGGAAATCAAGTTGATTCTCTAAATTTTGTACTTTTGCATTAAATGGATATTCTTCAATAAAGGAAACAATTCAACGTGCATGATTGTTGCCTATGTCATGTTAAATCAGCCCAACCTTTTATCTTAAAAAAGAAAATTATGTGCTTCGAAATAGGTGTCCAAATGAGTACCGTATAATTTTCATATATGAATATCAAGAGAGGTCTTTCTAGCTAATTCCATTTACTTATTATGTGTAATTTGTAAATTATAGTTTATTACACATAAAAAAATAGTTTACTCAATGTATATTTTTGGAGGTTGTAAGTTACCTTCTATTGTTAACTTCATTAACATATCATGGACTTGTTTAATAATTGATGGATCCGTCAAAGTTTTGACGAATTCGTTGTTTTCAGTGATTTGATTATTTCAAAATGCTGAAAACTTTATTTGGTAAATGACAGTTTAAAGTAACGGATCGGATTTACTCCATTTCATATTGACGTTTTGGACAAATTTTTTATTAAAAAAAAAAAAAAAGAAGAAGATTTGTTTGATTAACAAAAGCCTCAGACATCTAAATAAAGAAGTCTGAGGCTTCTTATTTTTCCTGCCCATCCAATTCAAGAGTGAATAAGGGGGTATTAAGAGCTCCCCTTTTGCCCTCTTTTAGTTTAGATTTCGATGTTCAGTTTTTTTTTTTTTTTTTTTTTTTTTTTTTTTTTTTTAATTTGTATTATTATTATTATTATTATTATTATTATTATTATTATTATTATTATTATTAGTATTATTATTATTATTATTATTATTATTATTATTATTATTATATTATTATTATTATTATTATTATTATTATTATATATACCATTTTGGTCATTTTACATGTTAACCGCAAATCTGAACAACTAATTTTATCAAATATCTTTTTACAAACCGCTGATACAATCTGCTGGTCAAACTCGCCAACACAGTCTGCTATTCGTTAACCGCTAATACAATCCGTTATCCGCTAACAGCTAACCGCTGATTGCCAAACAAGTCCCAATATCTATAAACTTCGAATGTCATTTTCTATATTTGATAGAAAATGATCATCAACAACATTTGAACGCTAAGCATTAATTCTATGGCCTTGTTTGGCAATCAGCGGTTAGCAGTTAACGGATTATGTTAGCGTTTAGCAAATAGCTTGTATTAGCGGGTTTGACCAACGGATTATATCAGCGGTCTGTAAAAAGATGTTTGATAAAATTAACTGTTTAAGTTAGCGGTTAACATGTAAAATGACTTAAATGGTATACATATATTTCACATAATAATAATAATAATAATAATAATAATAATAATAATAATAATAATAATAATAATAACAACAACAACAACAATAACAATAACAATAACAATAACAATAACAATAACAACAATAACAATAACAATAACAACAACAACAATAACAATAATAACAACAATAACAATAATAACAACAATAATAACAATAACAATAACAATAATAACAATAATAACAATAACAATAACAATAACAATAACAATAACAATAAAAATAATAATAATAATAATAATAATAATAATAATAATAATAATAATAATAATAATAATAATAATAATGGGAGCCGTGTGGCTCCCTTATGTTTTCCCACTTTTTCCACATCAGTGGGAAAAATGGTATATTATTATTATTATTATTATTATTATTATTATTATTATTATTATTATTATTGGCAAAAAAATTTGTCAAACGGTCTCACCGTGAGACGAGTTGGGTCGGTCTAGATGAAAATGTAATACTAATTATGAATAAAATGTTTATTACTTATATGAGAAAATGTAATGCTTTTAAAGAAAAATGTTATACTTTTACAATTTTGATTTAAAAATATTACATATTTTCTCAAAAATATTATATTTTCCCTTATAAGTAACAAACGCTTGCCATCATTACTTAGAATTAATTCTCAAAATAGTCCTCCGACTATGGCCTTTTCTCAAATTAGTTCCTTGATTTTTTAATTGCACCAAAAATAGTCCTCCGACTATTGAATTTTAAGTCAAAATGGTCTTTCGTTAGATTTGATGTTAAGTGGGTGTTAAATTGGGGCAAATTATGTTGCACAACCGTGTGCACCATGCATGGTGCACACGGTTGCAAAAACGGCGTCTGTTTACTTTAAAAAAAAAAAAAAAAAACATTTTCGATTGTCGTTAGTTACGTAAACATATGTTCATAATTTTATAATTTCACATTCTGAATGTATAGTTATGAAGTTATGGATATGTAGTTATGCAATTCTGAATGTGTAGTTATGCAATTCTGAATGTATAATTATGAAGTTATGGATGTGTAGTTATGCAATTCTGAATGTATAGTTATGAAGTATTGAAGTTATAGATGTGTAGTTATGCAAATTCTGAATGTATAGTTATGAAGTTAACGGATATGTAGTTATGTAATTCTAAATGTATAATTATGAAGTTATGGATGTGTAGTTATGCAATTCTGAATGTATAGTTATAAAGTTATGGATGTATAGTTCAAATTATGCACAACATAACTCCGTTAACGACAATCGAAATAATTTTTTTTTTTTTAAGTCGGACGTCAAAATGACGTCGTTTTTGCAACCGTGTGCACCGTGCATACGATTGCACAAAATAACCCGACTCTAAAATTGGAGAGTAAAACGGAAATTTTATATGTTTTGTTGTTTAGCCTATTCATCAGCCATCAATTTTTCCTACATAACTTTTTTTTTTTCTTTACACAAGCCCGGCCCTAATTACCTAAACCAATAAACCATCAGACTGACTAGTTTAGTTAATTAGGGCATCTGATGTTTGTTTGTTTTTTTTTTTTTTTTTTTAATATTTGAAGAGAAGCTTTTATTTGACAATCAAAGTGTTTGCATTGTACTAATTCTAGAAGAAAAGCAGAACAAAACATGTCTGCCCATTCAAGAGTAAATATACAAATTTAAGAACCAAAAAGAGCAAGGTGGAGAGGATAGGTGAGAGAAGATAACAGATGAACGAATTGTGTAATACTTTTGATAGAAAATATAATACTTTTACATCAAAATGTAAAAGTATTATATTTTTTCTTATAAGTAATAAAATATTTAATTTTTGATTAGTACTATATTTGAGCATATCCCATACAAGTATAACATTTGCGCATATAAGTATGACATTTGTATATTGATCCGATCCAACACATCTCACAGATAAGGATCAATGAGACAGTCATTTGATACAAAATTTTAATACAAATCAATGTACACATGCCATGTGCTATATTTTTGCAAGTTTGACACAATTTGCATACTGCTTTGTAACGTCGTCAATGAAATGATGAGTCCAAGTATGTAGAAAAAAAAAAGGATTTTAAGTTGTCATAATAAGAAGTTTTCGACAACATTTGATAAGAAGTTTGAAACGTCACCTAATTTGCATGTTCCAGTTTTGACTAGTACGTGAATGAACATTGTTTTTCATGTCCGATCTAACGTCAGTCGAAACATCAATAATATGAAAATATAATAAGCGTTTGGCCCACCGAATGAATTTAATCCATGAATGAAACATGATGCATAAAAGCTCATATCACCTTCTGCTGGGCAAATTCAAAATCATCAAACTGAGCATCTGCTTCAATTTATTTATTTTTTTGACGCGGGGTTTGATTCAGTCGGCCGCGGAGGTGCAGTGGTTGATGTTATGTAAACAAGTTGTGAGTGTTATTAATAATAATTGTTATTATTATTATTATTATTATTATTATTATATAACCTGTGGTGTTAGAATAAGTCTGATGTAATATCCTAGTAGATAGGAGAGTTTAGAGGTAGTCTTTGATATACTCTCGTGTAATCCTATCTGCCTGTAACTGAATACAATTTGAATTCTCATCTGGTATCAGAGCCAGACTAAAGGTCATGGGTTCGAATCTCAACGCCACTCGTAAGCGACTACGGTTTACCGGTCCACGTGTTGCTTGGAACCCACCGCACACTTGAGGGGGCGTCTGAGCATATAGCCATTAACGTGCAATCCAACTATTAGCTTAGGCTTTTAGTTAAGATGGAGCACATGTTTTAATTTGGTATCAGAGCATAATGCCTTCCTAAATGACCATCTAGCTGAAACTGTGTATATGAAGCAACCACCAGGTTACGAAGATCCCACTCATCCGGAACATGTCTGCCACTTACAGCGGTCTCTCTACGGTTTGAAGCAACAGGGTTCAAGCGGCTTCATGACTTCTTGTTATCTACAGGGTTTTCTTCGTCAAAAACAGATGTCTCCCTCTTCTACCTCAATTCAGAGGGGTCGCATGTTTTCCTCCTTGTCTATGTGGATGACATTATTATGATGAGCAACAACACCTCTCTACTTGATACTCTACTTGGTCGTCTTGCAACTGTGTTTAAAATACAGGATCTGGGCAAACCTGGCTTCTTCTTAGGGATTGAAACCGTTGACACTACTAGTGGAATGATTCTGTCCCAACGGCGCTACATGACTGATTTGCTGACTAGGGCTGGGATGGTGGACTGTAAACCCTTGACTACTCCTGCTTCAGTTACTCAATCGGTAACTCCATATACGGAATTGTTTAATAATCCGACGCAGTATCGACGCATCGTTGGGGCTCTTCAGTATCTCACTATCACACGGCCTGATTTGTCTTTTTCAGTTAATCGTCTGTGTCAATTTATGCACGCCCCTACTACTGATCATTGGGCAATGGTTAAACGGGTTCTCCGGTATATTAATGGGACTCTCCACTATGGCCTGCAGCTGATTGCATCACCCACTACATCCATTCATGCCTATTCCGACTCCGACTAGGCTAGTTGCCCTATTGACAGGAAAAGCACGAGTGGATATGCTATTTTTCTTGGGTCTAATCTCATCTCCTGGCTGTCCTGGAAACAGCGTACTGTGGCCCGCTCTTCGACAGAAACCGAGTATAAAGCCCTCGCCGACGTTGCTGCAGATGTTACTTGGGTTGTTTCATTGTTACGTGAGTTGGGGCTGCACACTGGTCAACCGTCTACTCTGTGGTGTGATAACTTGGGAGCTACGTACTTGTGCGCTAATCCAGTATTCCACGCCAGAACAAAGCATGTGGAGATTGACTATCACTTCGTACGAGACAAGGTTGCAATGGGGGACTTCAAGGTAAACTTTATATCAACCAAGGACCAGCTCGCTGACATCTTCACCAAGCCGCTCCCAGGTCCAAGGTTCACTGCACTACGAGACAAGCTACATGTTGTTTCTCACCAACCTTCCGCTTGAGGGGGTGTGTGAGTGTTATTAATAATTATTGTTATTATTTTTACTAGTAATTCACCCGCGCAATGCACGGAAAAAAATTATGTTATTATAAATATAAATAAAAATAGAAAAATTAAAATATTTTAAATTATTTAAAATAATAATATTTTTGAGCTTCCATTGGTCAAGTATTTATTATTTTTATCGAATACAAAATTATAATTAAAATTAAAATTAAAATTATAATTTTGTATGGTTAATATAATCTCTAATTATGTGCATATTCAAATAAACTTATAGAGATAATTTACATAATTACATTGATTTATTCTTAATTGTATTTCATCTATATTATAATTTTCATAATACAAATAATAAATAAGATAATTACATTTGGAAAGCAAATTTCAAATTTTGTATGTGTAAATTTAAACTCTAATTGAACACATTTTTTATATGATTATATAATATATAGCTATTTTATTTTTCAAAAGTACATTTTTTATATGATTATATAATATATAGCTATTTTATTTTTTAAATGTTGTGTTTTTTTTTTTAATATAATAAAGGATTTTATGGCATTAATTGTAACATTAATTATTTCCCAAAGAAGTTATGTTATTATAAATATAAATAAATAATAGAAAAACTAAAATATTTTAAATTATTTAAGTTAATAATATTTTTGAGCTTCCATTGGTCAAGTATTTATTATTTTTATAGAATACAAAATTACAATTAAAATTAAAATTAAAATTAAGATTAAAATTATAATTTTGTATGGTTAATATAATCTCTAATTATGTGCATATTCAAATAAGCTTATAGAGATAATTTACATAATTACATTGATTTATTCTTAATTGTATTTCATCTATATTATAATTTTCACAATACAAATAATAACTAAGATAGTTACCTTTGGAAAGCAAATTTCAAATTTTGTATGTGTAAATTTAAACTCTAATTGAACACAATTTTTATATGATTATATAATATATAGCTATTTTATTTTTCAAAAGTATATTTTTATATGATTATATAATATATAGCTATTTTATTTTTTAAATGTTGTGTTTTTTTTTTTTAATAATAAAGGATGTTGTGGCATTAATTGTAACATTAATTATTTCCCAAACCATATAGCTTTATTATATAAAGGATTATATAACCTGTGGTGTTAGAATAAGTCTGATGTAATATCCTAATAGATAAGAGAGTTTAGAGGTAGTCTTAGATATACTCTCGTATATACAATTTGAATTCTCATCCAAGTAAATAGAGACACTTTGCAATGGTTAGAAAAATATTGAACAAAAAGTATAGTTCTTTTGTCATTTCATCTTTCTCAATTAAACTGTTTTATTACTATTATTTTATAACATAAAATAAAAACTAAATGACAAATAGATGAGTCTTGTTTTTGCCTAACCTAAAGTTAAAGTTTGCTTTGTAAAAAAAGTAGAAATGACAACAAAGAAAACAAGCACCCGTATGTGTTGTATTGATTTCGAAGAAACAACATTATCAATCTTGATAGTTGTTTTAGTGAAAGTTTAATTTTAGTTTTTTTTTAAAAAAAATTATATTAATATTGACATTTGAAAAAATAATTATCAATGTTGAAAAGGTTTAATGATATAATTCGTTTATTCAAGTAATATACAATAAACTGAGGTTCATAACTATGTTATATAATCTTATTTCTTAAATTATAAGGCCATCCACACTTGTGGATATTGTGGGGAGAATTCAGAATTAAATCTTCCCTTCATGAGATAATAGCTAGTGTGGACATGAGATAATTGAAAAATAATCTCCCTGCAAATGTAGGGAGATTGTCAGAAAAAAAAAAAAAAAAAAAAAAAAAGAGAAAGAAGAAGAAGCAAGGTTGTGCGCGTTCGCGCACAGCCTTGGGCAAAAGCCGGGCGCGTGCACTGCACGCGCCCGGAGGCGCGTCAGGCGCGCCAGTCGGCGCGCCTGACGCGTCTGACTACTTTCTTTTTTTTTTAATTTTTTTTTTGTTTTGTTTTTTGTTTTTTTTTTTTTTTCTCTCCTCTCCCACACTCTCTTTCCTAATCACTCTTACATTATCTCCCCATTCTTCCCAACCAATGTGGATGCTCTAAGATAACAATAAAGAAACATAACAAGCACCAGTGGTCTAGTGGTAGAATAGTACCCTGCCACGGTACAGACCCGGGTTCGATTCCCGGCTGGTGCATCTCTTTTGAGGGAAGAGCTTTTGTATTGTACTTCTGCATTTTTGTTTCCACTGTAGCCTACTAACCTAATTGGCACTACAAACAAAATTTTCTATTCTAAATAATAAAAAGTTTATTACTAATAAAACAAATAGTGATACTTTTGTAAAGATTAAAAAATAGAGTAATTATACCCAGAGTTTCCACCATCAACAGTATCTAATTCCCTCTGTTCCATTTTTAAGGCCAAGGATCAAACCATTAACCTTTGGTTAAGGATGGATGAGTCCCTTAGCTTCCACTTAATCACACCCTCCAGGTTGGAGTGATTCTTTGGCCCTGTTTGGTAAAATAGCTGTTAGCTGATAGCTGTTAGTTGTTAGCTGATTGTGTTAATTAAAGGGTATAAATAGTTGATAACATTAGCTGATTGTAGAAAAGTGTTTGGTAAATTAGCTGTTTGGTATAATTTTTTTTCTTAAAAAGCTAATTGAAAAAGTTACTTGGAGTAGCTTTTTGAATTTTAGCCTTTTGGAGTTGCAAAAAGTTAATTAATCAAACATTTATATTGATATTTTAACAAAATTAAACAATTAATAGTAGTCAAATAGGTCAAAATTGGCCTATAGACCAATTTTTTACCAAACAGGGCCTTTATGTATTTCCATTTTCTACTATCTATAATGTGTCATGTTTTAATTAAAAGGGGTTGGGACATGATTCATTTCTGTTTCTTTCTCCAATAAAATTTGAACACTTGGTGGAAATTATACACTAATAACTCCATGGGACCATGGAGTCTAGCTAGTATTTGCCTAAAAAAAAGTATCACTAGTCATTTTGCTTATATATAATAGCTCGCTTAAGAGCATGTTGGCAAGAACCATCAAGTATGAGAATGTATTATTTAGAGTATCAATCAATGAAAATGTTATGTATTAATAATTTAATTACATAATACAAAATCAAAAAAATAATTATTCAAAAGAAAAACACTAATTAAAAATAAAAAAAAATATACAAAATAAATAAAGAAACAAAACAGAATAAGTAAAGAATCAAAAACTAAAATAAATTAAGACCATTCAGTCAATTTTGACTTGTTTGACTTGGTTAAACATTCAATATGAGTTTTTGATTAATTAGCTTTTTGTAACAGTTTATTGCTCCAAAATGCTAAAATTCAAAAATCTGTTCAAAACAGTTTTTTTGATAAGCTTTTTGAGAAAGTCATTTTGTATTTAATCAGCTATCAGCTAACAACTAATTTACCAAACATCTTTCTACAATCAAGTAATGTTATCAGCTAGTTAAATTCACTAACTTAATCAACTAACAGTTATTTACCGAACACCCAAAATAAAAAAGAATTAAAAAAAGGTACAAAAAGATTCGCAACAACTGTGATAGCCTTTTGTACAGGTTGCAAACTTGTAACTAAGTACAACTCAAATATAAACAAACATACATGTGAGTATGTATGCATAATGTATGTATGTATATATATATATATATATATATATATATATATATATATATATATATATTATTTATTAAATATAAATAGAGTTAATACCCAAAATCGTCCTCGACTATAGTGGTTTTTCTCAATTTCGTCCTAAACGACTTTGGTGACCTAATATCGTCCCAGACTTTTGTGTTTCGCTCAATTTAGTCCCAGACTTTTGTGTTTTTGCTCAATTTAGTCCTTCATTTGTTATTATGTCCATTTGGTGTTAAATAAATAGACAATTCAGTAATTTTAATATTGGCATCTCTTTACTCATAGACATGTGAACTGCGAAATCCTTTTTTTTTTTTTTTTTTTTATGAATTACTCCTAGAATTACTCCTAAAACTGCGAATATAAAATTTGATTTTCAGGTCTGGGAGTAATTCTGGGTGTAATTCGTACAAGAAAGAGGAATTTCGCACTTCATAAGTTGAAAGTAAAGAGAGATCAATATTGACATACTGAATTGCCCCTTTATTTAACACCAATTTGACGGAATAACAAATGGAGGACTAAATTGAGCGAAACACAAAAGTCTGGGACGATATTAGGTCACCAAAGTCGTTTAGGACAAAATTGAGAAAAATCACTATAGTCGAGGACAATTTTGGGTATTAACTCAATATAAATATTAAATAATATGGAAAGGGTATTTTTAGTATGGGTGTTGCTATTTGCACCACCCTTTGGTCAAAAGTAGGTATAAAGTATCTTGAAATTGTAAAAATGTGAAAACTTTCAATAATTACATAGGTGGTGTAAATATCAAATGGAGGTTCACCAGGACTATGTGGTCTAATGGTACCCGGGTTGGACTTCCATTTGGAAGATTATGAGTTCGAGCCTCAGTGGAGGCGTTATTGGTTCTTTGTGTTTCAGCAGGTTGAGAAAGTATATGAACAGATACTACAATGTAATAGGACCAGTAACTTTCAAAAAAAAAAAAAAAATCAAATGGAGGTTCATTTTGCTATTTGCACCACCTTAATCAAACCTCATTTATGAGGTGTAATTAATAATTTTTTAATTCAAAATTTAATTAAGAGAAAATGGTACTTTTTCCCCCTAAGTTATATACTTATAGTACTTTTTACCCCTGAATTATTCATGTTAGCATATTAGCCACCAATTATTTTAAAAGTGACGACTCCCCCCCCCCCCCCCCCCCCCCCCCGATATATTAAATTGACATTTCTACCCTTAAAGTAAACATTTTATTTATTTTTCTTCTCTAACAAATTATTGCGTATACGTAGGGATGACCACAGTTCGATTCTAAATTAACCGAACACTATAGCAAT